GGCTGACATTGTTCGTTTCCATGGTCTGCATGGCAATCTTGCCACATGGTTGATAAGATTTTCTCTAATTGAACCTGACTGTTTTATCCAGTGCCTTGAAATCAGAAATTTGACTTGACTTAAAAGACGATCTAAATCTGTGACACATTTGGAAAACCCAAGTATTTATTATTATTATTATTATTTTTTTTTTTTTTTTTTTTTATTAGGTTAAGCAAATTATTCTGAATTTTAGAACTTTTCAGTAAGTAGACTATAAATGTCCTTTGGTCATTTACATTAAAATAAGATACCAGACGATTTTGGGGTTTTTCACTTGTGGCCGGTGATTGCGGCTGGCTTTGACCACACTGCCCTCTGCTGGATGATAATTGAGTCACACAGCTCTACAGAAAGATGGATATGTGTTAAGCTTTTGTGTTTTGTCCTTAAGACTTTGGATTGCAATGTAGACATTGTTCTCGTTGCCAAAGCACCAGTTATGTAGTAAAGTGATGTTTATACTCATGTAGGACAATAGATGACAGCTAACTTTGCACAGACATTTTTTACTGTGGTTATTCTTGCTTCTGACATTAGTGGCAGTGACAAACCCTCCCCATAAATTCAGAAATAGTTTATACTATATTCTTTTTTTGCAGTGTTTTCAATTTGCCACAAGAGAGCGCTCTTGTTTTAAATAAATCTTAAATGAAAATATGATTTCATATTTTCAAGTAATTACTAGACATAAACAAGCCTGGCGTTTTATTTAGCATTATCAGATTCATCCAATTATTTCCTTAACACAATTCATGACATTTTGAAAATAAGATAATTAAAAAGGCAGAGAATGACATATTGTTTGTGTACTGAAGGAATAACAGCTATCAAAATTCAGCATTAAAATAGACTCGCCCCAAAGCTGACCTTCATTGGCACAAATCTGTTCACCATGCATGCCCAAGGATGACAAAAGATTATTCCTGATCCCTTAGTGACCAAACAACCCACTAACAATCCCAGATCCCTCGTCCCTTTTGTCTCTCGCAAGACTTTGTCTCACATGTCTCTCAGCAGCAGATCATGTGCTTTCTAGGGACTAATAGACATCGTCGGCCTTGTTGCCAAAATATGCTAAAATCTCAGTATCTAAATCAACATGATTTAGATCACAATGTGTTATGCAACCTCAGAAAAACTGTTTTGGAGACAGATTTAAACGTATCGTAACGTACAATGTGCCTTTGGAATGAATAATAGTCCACAACTCTTAACACTCACCATACAACAAGCATGAATGTTCTGGCAAAACTGTGATCAGCATTGCAAGTAAAGTGTGGTTGCATCATTTTATAAATACTCTGCAATGTGTAGAATTAAAAATGATAGAATCAAAATTCTTGTACTTTCAAAAAAGCTACCAGTTTTGACAAGGGTTGCGCGTTTCTTGGTAGTTTCTTCCATACATGCATAGACATACATGAATGCACAAAGTTTCTGATAAACAAGTAGATCAATCAAGACTATCTGTAAAGCACAAAAAAAAATGTTCCACACACACACAAAAAACCAAGCTAGACTGTCAAGACGACATTTAACACAAAAGATTTAATACGGGACCAAAATGCAGACGGAAGATTTGAGGGGCATGGATGGTGAGATTTTATTGACAACAATAAGGAAGCCACAAGGGAAGTGGAACATGAAGAACAGGTACAGTATCAGCAGGATTCAGAGACAGACAATGAAAATCCAGGAGCTCAAATACAGAGAAGTGTCATAACAGACAACATGCAGGTGGTCGATTACTCATAACAGGGTGCAGCTGGCAGAGAAGGCAAACAGCCTGAAGGAAGGATGGAAAATTAAATAAAAGAAGCTGAAAAGAGACTGAAAGAATCTAGTACAAAAAAAGGGAAAAAGTCTGACAAATAATCTAAAAGGATATTTAAAAAACAATAAAAACAAAAAACAGAACTGAAGAATCAACGAGTAGGATAGTGTATATCGATGCATTGAAGAGATGATAACAGAGATGCGCAATGCCACCAGAAATGTTATTTAAAATGATTCAAACTGTGCTGATACCAACTGGGTTGTAAACACTGGTTGAGTGTGTTGGGATCAGTTATGGTTATAAAGTGTAACAGCTGGTGAGAAGGAGGATCTACGGTGACGCTCCTTTGTGCATTTTGGATGCAGCGGCTTGTCAGTGAAGGAGCTCCCCATCTCAGAAACTGCATCATGCCTGGAGTTGAACACATTTTACAAACAGTGATGCTATTTCAGCCAGAGTCCACAAAATCCTGCGTTGACTGTCTGTACTCTGAGTTGACCTCTCCTGCAATGAGACAACCATGGCAGCATTATCAGTTCTGAACACAAACATAAACGAAAAGCAAAAGATTGTGACACAAACGCACGGAGATATTACGACAAACCAGCTTTTCATCAATTGATTCGTTTTAGCAAATGTCAGCTGGTCATTAAATGTGTCATCTGTACAACCGGATTTTACTTATTTATTTACGATCACACATTAAGTCCTCTTATATCTCAAGTTCTTAAAGTTCTTCATTTTATTTTTGATACAATGGAAACATGTCAGCTTTCTTAACTCCTGCCACGAATCAACTCTTTGCTGCCTTATGAAGTTCTCCTTATTCTAAACTCAGAGTTTCTTAGAATATCCACAGAACGAGTCATTGACAAAAAATAACGTCTGTTCTTGTGAAAGGCCTCAGTATAAACCAAGTGAAGCTAGATTTATCTGATTCATCCATTTCAGTAGTATTGCTTTAATAGTGACAGAGCTCTTGAGTAGCATTGGAAATTAGTAGTAGCCAGTGGACTACGTTTTCTTTCAGTTTCATTAAAACATATATTTCTAATACACTGAATTCAAAAACTGACCATCTAAGCATGTCGATATGTCCCTTCTTTATTTTTATTTTTTTTTATCATTTTTGGGGGCCTGGTGTTCTTAAGCAATAGAGGTCTGTGCATTCTGGAGGCTTTTGAGTGCTTTCTGAATCAAATGATGAAAGAAGCGTTGTATTTTACACAATAGAAAAGAAAAAAAAATCCGAAAACATTTACAGGTTGGTATTGCGGTTATGAACAGAGTTACGAGGAAGGTAAACAAGGTTGGAGCAGACAAGGCACACATCGATATCATTATCTGAGCTGCTTCCTTTCTGCCGGAAGTAATACCTTCTTCTGTTCTCATGAAACCAAAGAGACCTCTCTTTTATTGTGAAAGCAATTACACTGGTAAACAGTAAAAAAAGGTACAATAAATTCAAAACTCTTTGCTGTTAATGTCAGGATTGTGTATGCATGTTGCTGTCCCTGTTGACAATCCTGCAAACCAATTTCCCTAAAGGGACCAATAAAGCCCTCTGTCTGTCTATTATGTTGATAATAATACAATCCAGCAATGCTTTAGTTTTTTTTTTTTTTTTTGTGCAATGTTGATCTTATGTTGATCAGCTGTTCGGCATCACTTCACATCTCCCCAGGTGATTTTGAAAACACACAGTCGTTGTAAACAGTACTGTCATTTCAATAAATCTCAACTTTATGCGAAAGAATTAAATAACTCATCTGGTACTTACCACATGTCAGACTGTTTTACATACTACCCTGGAGAAAACAAAATGTGTGTGACATTTGGCGCGTGAAAATCATCTCTGTAAGGGCTTATGGTTTTATAGATTGCTGCGCTGGAAAATTACCACAAACATTGCCCAAGGTCAGCCCAGTTGTGACTACAAAAGTCCCGATCTGTCTCTGTTTACCTTCTGTCTGCTATTTACCTATTTCAAAGAAGCAGAAGAAAAAGTTTGGCTTCTTTGAAATTTTGAAGATGAAAAAATTATAGTTAAAAAAAAAACAAGAGAAAGACTTATTAAATAGTTTTCTTGAGAGCATAATGGGGTGGTATTAAAGTCACTGGATCTTAAGATGTTGCAGTCACAGAGTTAGCCACTAAATAAGCTACATATCAAAGATGCATTGTCTTTAATGTAAATACTTTTCCCCCCATATTTTTTAAAGCTGTCTCTATGTCGTGACAGCATAATAGCAGACAGATCATGTGGGAAAATAATGAAGATCTTCTGCCTCCTCCCTGTGGTTCTACTGCTGTATGCAGAATTACAAAGCAAACTCAGAAATAACCAATTTGAGCCGGACAAGATTCTTGTTGCTATGCTCTGCTGCATTATATTCTGCTTACTTTTAGTTTCAGTATGTCATTCATTGAGTTTCATCATGTTAACTTCCACATCATTATCATGCTTTCATTTATCTGGAAGAGTTTTGCCCCATTTCCAAATGTACAACTGTGCTTTCTTTCCTTTTTAATTCTGCAGAACTTGTTTACTTTGTGACTGAGTCATACACGCAAAGCTGACTTGCTCACACATGCACCATTTCAGACCACGACTTTTCTAAGACACTCAAAAATGCGACATAAATGCGGCGACTTTATGTCGAATGTCCTTAAGACATTTTGTAGCAGTTTTGGTTGTATCCTCAGTCAATACTGATTTGGAATAAAAAAAACTGCATTCTATATGGGAAATATTTCCCATAGTTTCTCCAAATGTAAGAAAAAGTAGTTATAAACGAACTATTTGTACTTGTTTCTAGATTCCTGTAGTACATCAAAATTTATATATCTTTTCAACTTAGCGCTTTCCCATGTTTCAACTTTGCCTTTCAACCCATGTTGCTTTGGGATACCCGCTCTTACCGAACTCAGCCATCATTGTCATCTCTGGGAAAAAACCCCCAAAACATCTTTATTTTGAGAAGATTCACATGAACTAGACATCTCCTTTCAATGAAACTGGATTCAAGCTACCTTGATCCATTAAGACGCATTGGTGGTGGACGGAATACGTCTACATGACCAAGTAGAAAAACCACATCCTTTAAAATGGGAAATGCATCACTTCACACTACATAAGAGGAAGGAACCAGAGAAAACATTTCAGAGAACCAGTCTGACTCCCACTTAACCTGCTTCGGATGCTGCACCACTCTATGCTGAAACTTTAACTCGGTGGTGGAAGCTGGACAAAAGGCTGTTGTTAAGTTTTGTAAGTAATAATCTGGTTTGCTTGTTGATATTGGCTAGATTATTTTTGTGCAACGTACTGTATGAATTGTCAAGTCTAACTGTTCACATTTCCAGCTATAAAAAGATTGCAATAGAAGTCATATATTTTGTGTTTGGAAATCTGACTGCATAGTTGCAAATTACGTTTTGTAACTTTGCAAAATTGCTGAGAATTTAGACTTTGTGCATGTGTATAACATGTATTTAATTACCTTGTGGGAACAATTTTCCCCACATATTATGTTGTGCGGACCCACTGCTCCCTGTGGGGACCGAAGCCTGGTCCACACAGTGGGAAATGTGATTTTTGGGTGAGGGGTTAGGTTTAGGACTAAAGCATAAATTGAGTTTCGGTTAGGGTTATGTATGTAACGTTAGGGCTATGCTGTAGAAATGAGTGGAAGTCAATGGAAAGTCCCCACAAAGAGAACCTGACAAGCCTGCTTATGTATGCGTGTGTGTGTGTGTGTGTGTGTGTGTGTGTGTGTGTGTGTGGGGTGTGTGTGGGTGTGTGTGGTGTGTGTGTGTGTGTGTGTGCGTGGGGGTGTGTGTGTGTGTGTCAGCGTGCAGTGGCTCTCTACCTTTAGCGGCTGCTGACGTCTCTCTCTGCTTCAGCAGGGCGTAGTAATGCTTTCCAGAGCACAGCACCACCTTCTGGACGCTAATGAGAATTAACCAGATATTTTTCAGAGAGCAGAGAAACGAAAGAGGACAGAAAAGATGGAGCTCTTTTGTTAAGTTTTGAGATTTCTTCAATGCAATCTTAATACACTTGTTAACATTTTCTTAAAACTATGACCAAAATCACATATAAACAACTTTACAGCTGGATAAGTTGCTGTAGATGAATTTGGGTTAATTAAAAAATATGTAAAAATAAATATGTTAACTCTGAGTTATCGAGGGAGATTTATACCCAGTTGGACATGTTAATTTATAATGTCAATGAAATAAGATTCATTCTGACGGATCAAAACGAAATGTCGGCTGATGATGATTTAGCCTCTTTGCATGAAGACGATCCAAACAGTAAGGCGCTCCCTCATCACTGAAGTGAACATGTATGAACCCAACCCATTCTGCATGAAGCAAGGTACCTGCAGAAACACTTTGTCAAAAGATCAGAAACCACACCGAAGGGTGAGCACTGATTTATTCTGTCATTCTGTTATTGCAGAGCCGTCTTGAAAGACAGGAGTCGGTGCTGTCATGACCCGATGTCAAAATTCACCAAAAGACTCCTGCAAGACATAGCAAAGAAAGACATTTTTGTAAATGTGTTTTACATGGAAGATTAAAGGTCGACAGCGCAAGATAGGCAAGCAGCGCCTGTAGCAGCTGCAGTGCATTAAATGGTCAACAGGAATCACATCATCTAAAGTAGTAATAGTTTGATGCTGCCACCAACAGGAGTCTGCAAATTTGTAATTCAACCCTCATCAACATTAGCTCATTTTTAGGATGTAAACGATCTGTTTTCACAAGTTCAAATGAGTAAATATACTCTGAATTTTTACTCATCCCTCAGCAGCACTTTCACAATGATGTTTGTTTCCCTGGCAGGCAGAGGAGCGCTGCAGCAACAACTGCAGCAACAATTGCAGCAACAACTGCAGCAACAACTGCAACAACTGCAGCTGCTGCTTTAAGGCAAATTAGCGTGTGTGTGTGTGTGGGGGGGGGGGGGGGTGCGCGGGGGTGGGTGTGTGTGTGTGTGTGGGTGGGTGCCTGCGTGTGCATGTGGGTGTGTGTGTGTGTGTGTGTGTGCGGGTGGGCGTGTGTGCGTAAAAAATCCCTATAATTAATTACATTTTATTTATAGGCACCTTTCAGGAAACTCAAGTTCACTTTGCAATAAAAGCAAGCACAATTAACAGTAGAAAACACAGTAAAAATGAACAATGTAATCACCCTTATATATTAATTTTGTTCATGACGTGCGGCATGTTAAAAATTCTGTTAGTGTAGATTCTTACTTTTGGTGTTGAATTTATCCTGTTAGAATTTATGCTCCCAGTATTGAGCCGTGGGGAACAATACTGAACAACATTTAGTGACATTTGAGTAGTGAGTGCGGCCTTAGAAATATGGCTTGAATCAGGTTTATTGGGGTGCTAGTTATACAAATGGAGAATAACGACATGAGAAAGCTGCACTTAATCCAGGAAGATGAGAATAGAGAGTAAAATGGAGTCTGCTGCCATCAGTTTCCATCACTCCAATATCATCAGACAATGGAGATATTGCCTGATGACCAATAACCAATAACAGTGAAAGGATAAAAGTGAATCGTGTTCAGTCAATGCAGGCATTGATCTTCCACCATTACAATTTACGAAACCTTAGTCGTAAATTACAGAACATCTCTCTACATTACACTGTTGCATTGACAACATGACAAATCAATTTAACTTATTTCATTTTTCCTTCTAAGGTGATGACATGTTCAGTGACTGACTTTTGCAGGCAATCTATGTGTACAAGCTGTTACTGTTTTGCAAATGTCGAGGGCGAGTTGAGAAACGCACCACAGTGACTGGGAAAAACTGCAAACACTGTTAAACTTAAGCACAGATAAGTGAAAGTTTGCGCAGCAGCACTTCTAGATGCTCGGTGAAGGCCGCTGCAGAGGGAATTGAAAATAACTCATGCAGAGGTTTCGTTTGGTGGGGGACTAAATTAATATTATTGCTAAATGAATATATTTGCATCTGAAAAACGCATACTTAAATCTAATAACTGACCTAACTTGATTTTTGTGTATTACTTTTCCAAATAGCCATGTTGGGTTTCTGTGAACCTCAATCAGAATAATGCATATTTTATTTTTCACAAAGCAAAATAGAAAGCCTGTCGACAAGAGAACAAAGTTGCATTTCCGCAAATATGTCCGTTCAAGTCATGTCATCCTGAGCTACAAACTACAGTTCCTCATCAGATGATCTGTCGAAGTTGCAATGGGAGACCAGATAAGAGAGCAACACCATTCGAGTTAAATATGGGAAAGATGTAAAGCAGCAACTTTGCTTGTGGAATCTTTATAGGCTTTAAATGCAAACTACACAATCACCTGTGTGTTCATCACCATAAAGTTAATGGCAGACGCCCAGTCAGGCTGTATGAAAGGCTCTGTTTTCTGTTTACTCTCTGCAGTGTACAAATAGTGGCGCCACCGGCTCATTGTCTCACCACAGTTCACGGCAGCAGAAACTGCAGGAACCACACAATGGTAAGTCTGATCATCACACATAAAAAAACGACGTATTATTGTATTATTTTTATTATGTGACCCCAAATGACCTTTTTATATCCTTTAATCATCACTTACCCTTTTTGCTTCCTGTCTTCTGTTTGATACTTCCCTCCTCCTCATCATTGTTTCTTCTCCCTTTCGCCGGGGCAGGTGATCAACTCCACAAACGTAAACGAAAAGCTGGAGAGATACTACCTGTCGCCGCTCTACGCGCTCGAGTTCTGCGTTGGCTTCCCAGGCAACCTTGTCGTCGTTCTTGGCTACATATTTTGCTTGCCGGAGTGGCAGAGCTGCAACATTTACGTCTTCAGCCTGGCCGTATCCGACCTCGTTTTCCTCTGCACTCTGCCACACCTCTCCTACCTGTACGCAAACGAGCACGCCGTCACCGTTCCCTCTGTTTGCGTCATAAACCGCTACGTCCTGCACGTCAACCTTTACTCCTCCATCCTCTTCATGGTTTGGATCAGCATGGATCGCTTCCTGCTCATAAAGTACCCCATGAGAAACCACCGCCTGCTGAGACCGAGAGCGGCCCTGGCGGTCACGGGCCTGACCTTGCTGGTCGTAAACGTGGAAGTCTGTCCGATGATAACCCTGCTGCTGCAGGACTTGCAGAAGCAGAACTGGAGCCACTGTGGGGATTTCGCCAGTCTTGAAGGAGATATCAACCCACTGGGCTACAGCTTGGGGTTAACAGTAACCGGCTACATTCTCCCTCTGCTTGCACTTTGTGCCTTTTCCCAGCAAATCTCCCGTCTCCTCCAAATGCAGGAACGAGCTGTACAGCACAGGACATCCTACAAGAGGCCTCTCAGGGTTGTGGCTTCAGCCACAGTCATGTTCCTCATTCTCTACACCCCGTATCACATTCTGAGAAACGTCCAAATAGCATCTCAGCAGCCTGGGTCACATTTCCACAGTTCTTCCCTGGATTACATCAAAGCAACGTACATCTTGACCCGACCATTGGCGTTTTTGCACAGCGTCATTAACCCGGTCTTCTACTTTCTCATGGGAGACAAGTTCAGAGAGCTTCTGATTTCCAAAATCAGGAATGTGAGAGGCAAAACCAAGCTGAGACGAGAACCAGCCTGACCATGTTTACCACAGGAGTCTTGAATCGTCACATGCAAACAAACCATGGCGTTGTAAACTCATACTTCTCGAGGTGTCGGACTCTTGGCACTTATTTATAAAATGCAAATTATGTGGTAGCATTTTGCTAAGTGCAAAAAAAGCATGCTTGCATGTCTGAAGCCTGTCATATTTAATGTTACTTTTGTCTGGTGGCCTGTGACACGGAATAATCCTTTATGTTTGTACATTGATAAAGCAGGCACAATCATTTCCAGGAGAACTTGCACATTTGTATATAACATATGCATGTTTAAATATTTTTTTGGTTTGTTTGTTTTTAGCTTAAACACAATCGCAGAGCGTTGTCATTTGTCTGTAAACATTGGATTTGTGGGAAAAAATAAATAAAGAGCTTTTTATTTTTAGGATAAAATGTAATATCTTTATCACTGTACAATTAACAATCTGTTATGTCTTTGATCTAACAAATCATGTCAAGATGGCAGATATTTAATGGACATAAGCAGAAGTAACCCAAGAAACACAGACGTATCAGTGGTAATAGCGGAAAAAGCAAAAAAAAAAACAAAACAAAAAAAAAAATACTTCAGTAAAAGCAAACAAAAGGTCTTTTTTTTTTATTTGCCACACACCAAATGTGGAAGAATTAGATTAGCTCAAAACTGAAATTTCTTGGGTCGTGTGTGTAAAATGTGTGGCAGAAAACTAACAACGTGGCGTTGTGTTGTCGAGGCTTTTCTTCAACTGGTTGCATGACGGTGTATGAGGAAAACCAGCTACCAGTTGCCTCCAGCAATCGTACCAGTGCAACCAGGGCTGAAATGGAAATGGATTGTATTGAAGCATGATCATGTGTTCAAAATAGTCAAAGACTGACATCCTGTGGAACCGGCGGCTGCTGCTGGCTGCAGCACACGTTGCTGAACCGAGATACACTCCTCAGCTACACCTCCATTGAGAAAGAAGCAGGATGTTGTTTTTTTTTTCTTTTTTCTGTGCACTTTCTGAGTATGAGAGAACTTATTGATTGCTATGTTTTGTTCAAATGAAGCATTTGTTTGGTTTAGTGATCTCACTAGTTTTTTTTATGTTCTGAAGTTACAGTAGTTTGAGGAGTGAAGGTGTTTGGTGTGAAGCTCAACCCACATCGTTTTATTATTAGGCTCATTTATTTTTGCTACATCCTGCTTTCTTATTCTTCACAGAAGGTTACTTGTTGCCTTCGCTCGTCTCCGAGATGCCCCCTGGGGAGAATGAGGCGCAGACAGATCCATACACATTTAGAAAAGCTGACTTTCTAAATTCCAACCGAAGCGTCGGGCCCCTTTGCAGAACTGGGCAGGCTTTACAACTCTGAGCGGAACAAACAATTCTGATTCAAATTCTAAAACACAAGAGATCATCTTAAGGCAACACTGTGCCTCTATCATGAGGAAGACGACAGCGTGAGGATCATGCTGCCATGATTTTTATTTTTTTTTTGTGTGTGTGTGTAGACCCTGGACAGGTCACCAGAGGGCTGCTTCACAAAACCAGGATTTTTTCAGATAGCCTAGCTGAGTTAAGCCTCCGCTCGGTTTCACAAAAGCGGTCGGACATAAGTTACCATGGCGATTGATCCTGCGCAGCTTGCCTGCTGCAGACCAGGCTAAAAGCCAGGATTAATCCTGGGGCCTTAATGTTCAGTCAGCAGCCATGCCGATCAGAAAATGATGTGTTTTGTCAGTGATTTAGTTTACTTTACCGTTTGTCCGACCCCCACTTTTTATTTCTTTTTTTTTTATAAAATGCCACTAATTCAAAGTGGAATTCAGTCAAATACTATCATTCCACAACTGTGATGGCAATGTGTAAAATGATCAGTTTTACAGTTGCTCATTCATAGAGTTTGTGTTTCTGAGGTTTGACAGAAAGGCTCCCACATGTGCTGAGGGGAATAGAGAAATCCCTCATAACGTTCTAAATGGGTCGTGATCAAGTTCAGCCATACATGTTGTAGCGTACCAGATTGGAGCGCCAGCAGTCAGGTGCAATTCCTGTGCAGTGACAGAAAAGAAACACCCTGGTTTCTCATAGAAAGAGACCCAGCTTAAGAATAAGAACATGTGCATACAAATATGTTTTTATACAACACGCCCTGCGCGATAGATTGTTCACATCCAGGTCAGAAAGTGCGTTGATGTGTTTAGAGGGAGATTTGTTGGGCACATTTTTAAAAACACACACACACGTATGTTCGGGCATGAATTGTACTCCACTCAGCTTTACTATAAACATCTGCTGGTCCGACAAGGTTGGCCGCCACATGGATTTTGTAGGCCTGAGTCAGTCTGTTTGGGACATTTTGCAGACTCTTTAATGTGAGACTGAATGACTACCGAGAGACTTGTACATACACATGAATGAGTGTCATTTGGGACTTTTAGTTATGCATTTGAACCCTTAAATAAATAACATGCAATTCCAGTAATCGTTTTAAGAATTGTGTTTATAGATTTGAATTTATTGTGTTTTTGTGGGGTTTTTTTTTTTTTCAAAAGAATACATACTGAGACAAACATACGTTTTCCATAATGACTGGTTAACTGCCATGTGTCACAATCCAGGCCCCTTCAGTTGTCATAAAAAAATTTCTTTCAACATGACTTGGAAGAAATTTGACTTTGTAAAAAATTGGCCGCTGTTTCTTTAAGTGGCTGAGACTCTTTGTTCTTATTGTCACAGTTTTTCTCAGAGCAACAGACGCTACATTTCAACTTAAAATTGTGTTACATATTATATGCCCCTTCATGTCATTTGCTTTCCCTATTGATATTAAAGCCAAATCTTTTTCCACTCCTGGCGAAGTAAAAGAAATATCTATATGTGCTATTGAAGCCATTTTTTATCACACCACTGAGCTTTGACCTTTGATGATCGCTATAGAGCTAAATGTGTTATCGTAAAGATGTTGCAAAGCTTTGACAAAATGAACCGGACTTTGTGCTTTGATTCTATTAGGACAAGTCATACCATGATCCATCATTGCATTTAGATAGGAATCTCAAATGAAACCAACAACGGGGAAAAAAAAAAAAAAGCAAATAGAAAATGTCTGATCTGACGTTTTTGGAGCACATGATGAAAAGCACGAGAGTTGCATTGTGAGCAATCAGAAAGGATAAACTAATGGAAAAATATCTGAGGACAAATATGAAATGTACATCTACTTTGTTGTATCTTCGGCTATGTTAGCATTGTGAAGCCGGTTGCTTTACAGACAGCAAGAAATCCAAGCAGACTGAATCTGCATTAACACGCTGAAGTACTGTTAACTTTCAGCCCTTCAAATATGTAATGTGACGCAATCTCCATTGAGGCTTTGATAGAAGTACTCTATTGAACTTGATGAGGTCATGTTTTCTCCATCTGTTTACAGAATTCTGCATGAACATAGAGTGCACCAATTTCTCCACCAACAAAACGAAAAAAAAAAAGCAAAATCCCTAAGAGTTTAATTCATTTGCAACCATTCCCTTGCAGTGCCTCTTAAAATATGGTTATTAGTCCAACGTTGGCGTTTGAAGAGGACCAGTCATGAGGCGCATTTCAAAAGCACGAACCCAACAAACGTCCCTTTATGTTTCATGGGAATAAATCCAGGTTAAGATGAAAAAGTCGGTGTGCAAATGTGCATGTCTTTGTCCTCTGCACCCTGGAGCAGTTAAGTGTTTCATTGGATAACAGCTGAATCTCTGAACCTTCTATGTCTGTAAAAGGTGTAAAGTGACATCATGTTTTCTATCTATTCCTACTGTTTAGGTACCGCATGCTTTGTTAAGGTACTTTAGCTTATTAGAGGCAATTGTTGGCTGCCTGGAAACCACCGAGATGACTTCAGATGACTGTACAACATGTAACCTCTTCTTTAGAAACGTGTGATCACATCAGACCAAAAAAAACCCAACAATTTTTAGCAGTGAAAGCATAAGTCATTTTATTGTCATTTTACACGAAACTTGCATGAGGCCCACACATTTTCCAGCTGCAGAAACAAAATGTAAAACTAATTTTGAACATCCGAGAACGAAAACGTGTTGGGGCAAAAAACACGACACAGGGCAAATGTGGGAAGTTACATTGTTAGTAGCAGAGGGAGTGGCAGTATTGACATTTTTAATAACGTTAATAAAAATAGAATTCTCAAGCTGTCACTTGTTCATTCATTTCATATATTAAATTAAATAAATGAAATAGTCCTGAAATGCAAATGAGTTATATTCAGCGTTTGCAATGACTGGGGTTTAGTCAGCAAAAACATTCTTTCTGAATAATGTTAATATGAAAACCAAGTATGGTAATAAATATATTACAACTTTAAAATCGTCTACCTGAAACTTGAGTCATATGCTACAGCTTCATTTTCTATCAACTTCTGGGTTTTATGTAAAAACTTAAAAGTTTTGTTTTCAGAATGGGGTGAGCAGAGTCGTTTGTGCTCCAAATCTAAATGTTGATGCTGCATATTATAAGTTATAAATTGGGACGCTCTCTATAGATTAAGGCTTCATGATCAATCATTACCACATTTCTTCATTACATCACTCTTTTTGCCCCGTCGTTGCAACAATCTCTGCTGTGCTTTCTTAAACAAATGTTAGCGATGGTTGGATATATATATATATTTTTTTTTTTTACTAATAGTCAAATGGAATATGGACCATCAACATTCACTGACCTCATATGACCAGGAAACCAAAACGTTGTACATTGGTTACTTGCAAGAAGTGAAAATTAAAATTCAAGGGTGTGTCACATTCATGTTTTGTTGTTGTTGTTCTTGTCCCCCTCACTCCAGCGGCAAAATTAAATTTTACCAATCTTTGGATCAGAAACTATAATGAGTCAACAAGTTACAAATCGTTGAACTCATTTGTAACTCTTTGGAATGCGGTACATACTGTGATAAATGTTAACTTTGGCCAAAAAAGCATCTGGAAAAATCCTCTCCTGCTCGCAAAGACTTATAATGAATTCTTCAAATCTCTGCAGGGAGGTTTTACTTCCAGAGGTATGCATTACTGACTATTAAGACTAATATTGATACAATAAATACAAGATCTGAAGGAAAATCATGTGGTGCGAAGCAATAAGAAGGAGCTCTGTTCAGAGTTTAAAAACAAACCTGTCCATCAAACTAATATGATAGTCACAGTTTTATTATACATAAGCATTGAGTTTGCAGCTAGCGCAATGAAATGATGATGCATTTCACTCGTCACCTTAAAATTAAAAAAATATGTTCACTACAGTTTCAAAATTAGGCAAAATCCATTAGAAGGAAGTTATGAAATTAGCATATTTAAACAAAAACAGCATGACCAAAGAAGTACACCACCAAAAGTTAAAAACAACATGAAAAAAATTTTAACTAAACATTAGTGCATTGTGTGGAAAAAAAAATAACTGGAATACCCACTTATATAGTCAAAAGTTATCTTTTTTCTTTTTACAAATTATCCTTGAGCCATTTAATGTAGTTGTCTGTCATGCGACGTGCAATGAGGAAGTCAGTGGGCCACACAGTAAACATCAGTGCTCCGTGGAATCCCGTGTCATAGTGCTGGTGCGTCACCTCAACGCCAGCCGCCCGGAGCCGTGTGGCGTACATGATCCCGTCATCTCTGAGGACGTCGTACTCGCACGTCAGAATGTACGCCTTGGGTAGAGAGTGCAGGTCCGCGTCCGGGACAAGCAAAGGCGACGCCCTGGGGTCGGCCAATGACTGAGATGGCCCGGCCATCCCGGCCGCCTCCCCTTCGGTTCCCTGCGCAACAGCGGGAGCGCTGTAGTTGTACTCTTTGTGATATGCCTCCGGCAGAAAGGCGCTCCAGTTGACGAACTTCAGTAACCTGGACGACTCGGGGCTGTTGTGCGAGTTGGCCATCATGGCTCTGAAGAGGGCTTTGTTGCTCGTAAAATACTCACTCCAGAAGCGCACCATGAGCGTGCGTGGCAGAATCGGCATGTCTTCATTCTGCTGATATGAAGGCGTCTTGAGGTCCAACGCCTGCAGCACGGGGTAAAGGAGTGCCTGAGCCCTCAGCTTGATCTGCTGCTCAGACTCTTTCTGCAGCTGTGGAGCAGACACAAGTAAATCAGATTGTGTTAATAAAAAGATGGGGCATTACTTAGTGACATAAAACGAAAACAACAGGTTTCTGAAGAAGCCCCATATGTGATACTCACTGCTCATAAAAAAACATTTATCTTTTACTGTCATGGTAGTGATGTACAAGTTAAGGAAAATACAACAGTATCAACATTTTGGGGCTATTTATGTGCATCAGTCCTGACACTTATCCACAGAAAGTTAATTTTGGTGTTAAGCAATTGTTGGAAAAAAATATTTACATATATTTTTTTTTAAAGCATCTCTATCTTTTACTACTGTCACAACTGACAATTGTGCCTATCTTAAATACTCAACTAACTCCAGCACGGTCAAACAGTTAACTTCAGACTTTGTCCTTTCTTTGTCTGAAGCAATGAAGACACACAAAAAATTAAGAGCATGAAATTACAAACATCTACAGTTTTTCTTCCACTTTGACAATGGCATAGTTTTGGTCATCACTGCTAAATATTTGTAAGCTCTCACTCTCTTCAATTTTGTAGCTACTGGGCTGTCTATAAATTAACTCAATTGTTTGTATTGTACTTTTCAAGTCATGCAACCTGGAGTTCAGTGCTTTGCCGGTGAGCACGTCAACATGTGACAGGAGGAAACTGTAGTCGATCCTGCAACCTTTCCACTGCAAGACAATGACTCAACTTACTGAGCCACAGCCGCATTTGCCTGATTTTCTCTCTTTTTGCTTCACAATTCTATAAAGCAGTCGGTACATATATTGTTTTCTATTCATTTTGATTTCTGAAGAAGACGTGTGCTGATTCTGGCTTGGTGAAACAAGCTTTTAAATGACAAATGGATGAGCCATTAGCTACTACTTACCCCACACATCTTAACTTCCAGGTGAAAATAAATACATTTTTGTGAGTGCACCAGTTTACCAAGCCCCAATCAATACTCCTCTCGGTCATTAAAAGATTTTCCCAAGAATTTCTTCAGTCTGAAAGGCAAACGTATAAGAAGTAAACAGATGTGCAGACAAAACCGTTCCTTGTAGGTGCATTAATGTTGTCCGAGGATGCTACAAAGACACAGCTCTCGATCTCTCACTGTGATACTGAACCAGATAACAGTGCTGGACAAAAATCACGAGCCTCTTCTCACTTCTTTATATTTTGCTTTACATAAAGCCCTCTTTCTTAGTCTTCTAGAAAAAAAGACCTGGGGGATTTTTTTTTCCTAAAGGTTTTCTGAAGCTGCAGCTCACTCTCCTTGTTCATTTCCTGTCTTTTTCATAATGAGTCTTTTTACTTCAGACATTCACCTTCGACCAACAAAACAAATCTTGTGACATGATAAACGAGCTCGAAAAGCATCCTACATTCAAATGTTTTAAGATGTACTAGTGAGGAGAGTGTTTCAGTGTCATCTAAAACAGTCTCACATTGAAAATTACTCACTTTGTTGTAGCGTGATGTCTGGACTGTGGACACAGGCAAACTTAATTGTGGTTCTGGTCCTTAAACAGCATTTATGAAGGATGGGATGTTTTCCAAGGGGTCCAAGGATCCAGTAAAATAATTAATAAATAAATAAAAATGCACATGTGGCAACAAATCAGGTAATACACGCTAATAATGCAACAATTTGGTCATAACAAAAGTAACAGACCCAATCATGTTCTTGATTGTCAATAATTTAATTCAGTTTTTGGCCCAATAACAATAATTTGCAAGTTAAACCAAATTATATTATTGGCTAGATGACACTGAACAAACACTGTGTTCCAGCACATTCCACGAAGAGATCCAAACAGCTAGTGTCACAAAACCAGGTTATGAACACATTCACTGATTCTAAGAAAATGCTCCCTAATGTTATTAAGCTATTACAAGCAAACCTGTTGCAATGCAAGCTGTACTTTTATTGCCTTTGCCAGGAAGAATGAATGTACTGCTACCTCCTCTGTGCTTTTGTTCCGTCAGCTGCGTGGGACCAGACACAGGCTTGTTATCAGCAAACAAACCAACATAGACCCTTTACGCCGCTGGAATTAGGAGACGGCTGTTCTCGCCAACGAACACTTATACCCTTAACATGGATCCTTCACAAATACGCATGACTACCAAACTACACAGCACTGGCAAAAAAAATATTTTGTTTCTAAGAAATGCACTTCTAATTATGTGTGGTTCAAATAAAATATTATTTCAGCTTCAGTTTTCAAAGATTTCTAAGTAATGACGTATTATCATTACTTTATTGGCTTTGTTATATTTAAGATGACCAAAAGTATTACTTCATCGGCAGGTATTAAGTTACTGGCCACAATTGCCTAACAGGATTAGCATTTGTTTAACTTGCTTTATCCAAGTCATCAACGTTGGATTCTCAAGACCTTCCTCCCTCTTCATCATAGATGAGTAGCTGCTGGTGCGGTTATATGAGCTTCATCGACACGACCTCTCAGCTCTGCAACTAATTCCCTACACAAAGCTTTGGATCTTAGAGAATGATTGAAAGGATGGCTCATTTCACCTTCACTTACAAACACAGACGGGCACGTCGTTGTGTCACAGCTACATTTGCAGTTGTGTTTTTTGCAGATGTTTTGTGACGCACACTTTCAAACGAAGTCGGCGCTCATCATACAGTGTTTGCGATTTGTCCTAACTTTACTAAAGCCCAAGGAAATGACTTGAGGATTCACCCAAACCTCAACCCAGATCACTATTACAAAATTAAATTCCAAGGAGATTATCTGCGGCATGCACAAGGATTGTTCTTGAGCCGGGGTTCTGTCTGTTCATGTGCCTGTTGTACATTGTGGAGCCTAAAGTTTTCTCCTGAGCCTCCTCTGATGAACTCTCTCTAATGCAAATACACGTCCTCTCTTCAGCAACCAAATGCTATTAAGTTATAGCAAATTTTCCTATTAAGTTATAGCTAATTTTCTCTTCATTTTTTTTTATTATTATGTAATTATCTTTAATAAAACAAGATTGCTTTGCCTCATATCAGGTAAAGTGGCTTAATTGCTGATCAAATTGCCCATGCGTGCCTCAAAGCCATAAATGCTACTTCTGCCTATCATGAGAACATTATTTGTTTTGTGCAATGAGCTAGTCTCCATTTCTATTTTCAATCAGCAGAAAATGCAGCACTGCCCCAACAAACAAAGGCTGGATTATTGCCTAGAAGCTCTGTCAGCATTGGCTGCTTGATACAAGCTCTTTTAGACTGGTGTAAAGTTTGGGAAATTCACTTTTACCAATTCCCCAACTCAAAAATAGAACTTTTTTTAGTATTAAATATTAACACTGTTAAGTGTTTTGGAAATGTTTCAGACTATGAATGTTAATGCTCTCTTTTATTTAGAGAGATTCTTTCAAGTTTGACAAAAATAGGGTACAACAGCCGCAGTCCTGACTCAGTTATTACATAAATCTAAGCCAGTGTTTCTCTTACTTTTTCAGGCCGAGGACCACTGACTCCATTTTACAAACACACAAAGACCACATAACGTGAAACACAACATCTTAATATAAATAACCTGAAATGAAAACATTTGTCTCTTAACTCACTGTCTTTGTTCCTCCTTATGCGCTGTTTTGTAAATTTCACCGGCCAAAATCAACTTTAAACAAGCTTGCTCGGGGCGTTTCAAGTTGCTAACAAATTCTGAAAGTATGGATTCTAAGCTTTCCATTGATATAAAACACATGTAAATAATTAAAAAAAAGGTCAGTACTACAAATGTTGTGTGCACTCGCAGCGTTTTAGGGCTATTTGTCATTCAGAAGAACAATAAAAGAAATTCTAGACTTGAGTTGCATTGAGCTATCTGTTCTTTTAGCCAACAGATAGCCCAACATAAATATTTTATTTTCGGAGTTAAGGTGCAGTTAGTCAGTGTGGGGTGCAGCTCTTTTCACCACTGGCTTATTGTATTCATCACAGCCTAGATATTCATGCCTGTGGCACGCTTTATGTCGTAACAGTGTTGGAAAAACAAAAGTTCTGCAACTCAACTGAGAAACTTTCAGGGTCTTCTTTTTAGTGACCCGGACTTAAGTCATTTATCCATTATTATTATTAAAAACAATCCTTGAGGACCCTCTCGAGGGGGACAGCGGACTACAAGTGGTCCAGAAACCATAATTTGAGAAAGACTGGTCTAAGCTAAGGTCATAATTTGTTGACATGTTTTGAATTTAAAAATCCCTCTGTGACATCTAAGAAGAGTTTTTCAGATGAACCTCCAGACATCCAAAACCCAGAACAAGAAGAGACCCGAACCACCTTAGAGTGACAATTTGGAAGCAGAACCAGTCCATCTAACAAACAAAAAGAAACTTAGTCAGTTTTGCTGAAAAAAGGCGAACCAACAGACGTTTATGGACTAAAGTAAGACAGTATTTATTATATCATAATAAAAACTTTCATCTCTCAATTCTGGTGCAGAGAAATGACAGACAAAAGGTAGTTATGAATCTCCGTTTCATTGTCTTTCTGAACATTTTTCCCTTATGAATTAAGGTCAATAGTAAAACTTTATGATCTCTTCCTTTGAGCTTCTGAGAGACAAAAAACTTTTAAATTGTTTCGGTCAAATTCGGAGTCTTCGTTTCACTGTAATAAGAATTGTGTTTATAAAATTATTGGTGTGTGTTTATTTGTCCATTTAAGCTTGGGTGGGCTGATTATAATAGACTTAGTTTGTGGCAATACTAATGATTAGCTGTCATTGGGAGACCTAATAATCATGATTACCAGTACAAATTATTTCTTTTGATTAGAAATAAAAAAAATAATTATATTCTTCTTTTGCATCCATTTAATGTAATGTAGAAAATCCTGACTCCTCCTTCAAATGATTATTTGATAAGATTATTTAACTGTCTTGTGACAATTGATTCGATTGATTTGTCACATCAATTGCATTTTGGAAACAGCTTAAAACAGCTACAAAAAATTCTTGATCGGTCAAGGTCAAGAAATTCTCTGGCATTAAACAAAGTTCAGAAGTAAATTCATTTCTTTACTGACATGCCAAAGATAGATAACATAGCTGTGAAAAAGTCTACAAATTTCTGCTAAATCCACCTTTTCTTATGCCCTCAGATCCTATGAGAAACCAAATTTAAGCCTCTGCAGCAAAAACAGACTTTGTACCTGCTGAGAGACTGCCGCTGCAAGGTTCCCTCCAGCACTATCCCCTGACACAGCAACACGCCCCGGGTCCACAGAGTACCGGGCTAGCACCCCCTTCTGGAGGAAGTATTTGACCACACGGTGCACGTCCTCATATGGGACGGGGAAATGGTGAGCAGGGGCGAGGCGGTACCTAAAACAGATAAGAGTTTGCAGATTACTCCTGCAGTAAAAACAAAGGCTTTGGAGGTCAGACTCAGACAAAACTTTAATCCTGGAAACATCAACACGATCAAATTTCAGCGTGAACGACAACAAAGACAAGCAAATAAGTCACTATGCAAAATTTGCAAAAAAAACTTTCAAAAGTTATTTTTTTAAATGAGTGCTATGTCAAATGAAAAAGTCAAACTGGAATGAGTTTGTTTGTTTAACCGTCCAGTAGTTTATTGACTCCTGTCATTTATATAAAGGTTATTGATGGAAATGTGGATAAAGTCTTCAGAACATGCTGTAAATACTTTGTGAACAATAATTTATCAATAGAATATCTCTGAATTTTTGAAGTTATGTTCTATTAAAATAATATAAGCTGCTAATATTTTAGGTCAAGTATATATTTCTCTTTGTGTGTTGAAAAATGCAATGAGTTTGGTTCCTTAAGCTGATACCAAGAATGGCAAAGACATATCTTAAAACAATCGCACCTCTTACTTTCATATGTCTTCTGTGTTAATAACATGCTAATGGAAACATGACAGAGACTTCAAGCTTCAGAAATCAATGTTTACAAGCAAAGACAACAATAATTTTAAGATTGGAGTTGTTTTAAGATTGCATAAGTCTCCTTCGGTCTAACTTTTATGTTATCTAAAGAATGTAATATGCATTTCTCCTTAATGATGATGCTATGAACTTCACCTACTAATATTACTACTAATGAAATCATACTTTTTTTATTGTTAAAGTTTTTATTATTTCAGAACACATGCGTATATATAAAACCCCTCTCAGAAGAGAAGAGTCTTTGTGACATGGGTATCTACACACCTATCCACGTTCCAATGTGTTGTAACACTGCTTTTCAGTGTAAGGCATAAGTCTGTCAAGGGGTTAGCAGAAGTGCTTTCAGGCAAGAGGCTTGTCCTTGATGCTAGCTTGCTTCTCGTTGCTGCACTGTTGAAAAACTTAGCTTTGTTGTTGCTTGACATTTCGTCGGTAAATTGTCTTAGAAAGACTTTAGGATTTAGCATAACAGATGTATTTATATCCGGGTAAATTGAAAGGGGTATATTCCAAATAAATGTGAAAGAAGTTTCTGGAGCTCTTTTATAATAGTCCCATGTGATTCAATGAAATTGTACTTAAGAAAATTTTAACTTTAATTTCCTCACCAAAAGTAATTGTGTAATTATTGTAACGCTGCTGTCAGTGAATTATTAAATAAATGTAAGAAAGTTTATTAGGGAGATGAGATGAAGACCACAACAAATAGGAAATCTCACACAAATTTTCCACATAACTAGCACAGCAGCTATATAAAGAAAAAAAAGTTATTTTTTTTTTATTTTTTTTATCACAAACAGTGAACTGAGAGTGAGAGACAAAACCCCCAAAAGTTCCTGTTTGCCATATTTTTAGGGATGCAACTAAAAAAAAAATATGTGGAATCCCAATTATCCAATTGGATAAAATAAACTTCGAACATTCTGCTGATTTCTCATTAAACCACCAAAGTCATTTTCATACAAAATTACAAATACATTAAATATACAAATGAACGATTCAATTCCCTTGTTTAAATAAGAAAATACAATAACAGCATTACTTTAGTGAACGCTGGATCATTGGTATAAAGAACCCATTAGCAGCTAAAGAATCTTTCACACATCAACATGTGAGAAGACCAGCCCTTTCTGCTGGACTTAACTGTGTAAATCTGTTGACTGTGTTTTGGATTAACAGATTAATAATTGGAAAGCAAAAGGTGCTCAACATGAGATTTGTTTAGTTTTTACAGAATTTTAAAAGGGTTAAGGTAAATCTCTGCCACTTGTGAAGTTAAGGGTAAAATGTATTGACAAGTAGAGGTCTTGAGTGCAACATTTATTCGTTGTACAGTTTTGCCTTCTTTACTGCTGACATTTTTAATCAATACTAAATTCGGTGACTATTATTTTAATCCTAATTAAGTGTTCCAGCCCTATGTATTCTCCTCTTTCAATAGTTAAAGCTGGTCAGTGGGACAATTGAGATAAAAGGAAGAAAAGAGTCATAGCAGTACTTTGAAAAAAAAGTTGTTTTTTTTTCATTTATAAATGGAAAGAGATCCATTTTTATTTGTCATATTGAGGTTTTCTGCATTTTGTTGCATTTACATTTTCTAAAACGACAGCAAAACACTTACTCTACAGACAGAACGACAGCATCAAGTTCAGTGACGATCTTTCTGGCCAGCAGATCATATGGACTCATCCCTGCACAGAAAGACAACCCAATGTCAGACATGCCTTAGTAGATTAATGAATTCCTTTAACAGTACAGTAACTTGCATGAATAAAAAGGGATTCTGTCCAACAAAATGTAAAGTTATTCATTCAACAGACTGAGCATACAACATGAAATTATTATTATGTTCATGGATAGTTTGGCTCTTTGCCCAGGACACTATACTGCACAAGCCCTCAAAAAGTTGTCTGTCAGACAAACTGATTTTCTTTAAAATATATTGAAGCTATAAAAGACTTCATTTCTGTGAATATGCAACAAAACCCAACCTACGGGAGCTTCCTAGACACCATCCTCCCCCGTGCAGATAAATGACGGCTCTCCTCAGGTCAGCGTCTCCGCCCTGGCGCTTCGGTTGGTAAAGCACCACCTCCACGCCGTCGAACTTTTCTTCTGTCACTTTGACATGCTCATCAGACACCGGTACGATCTTTTCTAATAGAGTAATGACATACATTACATCCATGTAGTCCTTCAGACCCGCTGACTCACACAGGTCTGCCTGGAAAAGGGAAACAGACAATAAGAGGTTAAGAGAGATATCATCACATCCCGATCGTAAAATGAAAAAAATTTAAGCTCGCAGCCTTGGGACGTGAATCTGGGAGAACTAGTCACATGAATGCAGCTCTGTGTAACGTCAACTGTTCCTGAAGACCATCTCTCAGCAGAAACCACAACGAAGAGGAATTCAAAACTAAAAAGTAACTCGAGCCTGAAACACCAACACTGGGACATTCTTCTTATTTCATGAGCTCGAAACGGATCTCCGGTTATTAACCAAAGCCAAAATACAAATGGGCTCATTTCACTGTAAAATCAAATAAAGACTTTAACAGCTTCCCATAAACTATATGACATTAAAACGACCATAACCTGCAGTCAGCCTCGCATAATTTACAGGGAGTGCTTTATGGAACTGCTCTATAATTTGTGCCTGTCTGCAAATGATTTCCCCCCAAAATAAGTGAAGGATGCCATCTTAAGTGTGCTGATGTATGGCTCGTTGCTCCAAAACACATCTTCACCATCGTCTGTGTTAAATTATAGACATGCACAAGTTGCTTTTTTAAAAAGCTTGTAATATAGGTATCTAAAAAAAACTCCAGTTTGCCACTACTATATTAGGTATTATAAACCACAGGTGTCTAGCCCTCATAAATGGAGGAGAGTTTCCATAATAGGATCTATTATTAGACCAGGTGAGGACTATACAACACATGGATTAGCATCTGACATAATCTGGTGTAACCAGTATGCGTATCTACATCAGCAAAAAGTAATAATAGAAAAAAAAAGTTTAACCTGCTCTAAAAGAAGAAGCAATAATGAACATCAACACATGAAGCAACTGGAAAACAAAAATATCTGCAAAGCCTGAGTGATAAAAGCTTTGTCTATAATGTCAATAATTAAAAGAAAAATCATTAGGAACTAAAGGAGGAGGAAAAGTTTTTCTCTTACCAGGTGACTGAGAGTTCTGAAAAAGGAATTGGTCAGCATGAGTTTCCATCTCTCCTCTATCCTTTCAGGAATTGGCTCGTAAACATAATAGGCTGTGAAAGAGCAGAAAGCGACGAATAAAATGACGCCGCCAAGCCTCATCTTACAGCGAGCGTCCGCCGGCCGCTGAGCGCGAGCTGCAAACACGGACGGACTGTTTGGCTGCACTTGTTAAGGAGAGTCACTTCGGCGCGCGGAAGAGCGTACGCCCCAAAAAACAAAACAAAAAGAAGAAGAAGAAATCAATTTCGGATCCAGACGAGCTAAAAGTTACAGCGTGTGGTTGGCGTCATTTGCTTCTTATCGAGCCGCATATTCGGAGCTTTTCTTCGCTGAAGGCGCGCGCTCCGCAGAGCATGTCTGTCTCGTGCGGCGGCGGAATTAATTGAGGTCTCAGCGGGGTGGAGAGGGCGCGCGCGTCGTGAGCTCACGAGGCAACGCCGACCCACCTCGCCCGTGGGGCAATTCCTCAGGTGCTCTCTAATCGTTTGTGGATTAGAGAGGAAACGCGACAGAGCTCTGCGCGGAAATGCAGCGGCCACGCAGATACGGGAGCTTTTGGAACAACACACCTCCATGCAGACCCGCTCTCTTAAGTATCTACGATGTCATTAACATCCGACCGAGCTCGCGCGTTCTCCTCGCCCGGACACAGTCGCCCCTTCTGGATTCTTCTGCGGCTCCGTCTGATTTCCGAGAGAGGCTCTCGGTATCCCCAACTTCTGAGCGAGCGGCTATCGCTAAATGAAGGTCCAGATAAGCATACGTGGCTGCGAGGCAGCCTAAGCTAATTATACGATTGGTGTTAGATTCGCCACCCACCCCCCCATCCCACCGGCATCACTGACAGCCAAAAGAAACATGACTCTGATGCTCTAACTTTCAAAACGGAGAGCAGCCGAGAGCTGCAGGATTTAGACACAGAAGAGTCAAGAGCAAGCAGGAGCTTTCCTCAACCCGTGCTTTCAATGGCAGCTTGTTCTGTACAAAGCTCAAGGTCATGTCCTGAATCCCATGGCTGAGGCTGAAGAAACAATCCAGTAAATAAACAAGTGTGCAGGAGTCTACAGTCTGAAAGTGAATAACAGCTTATATTACATTAATATCCAGTAAAGTACCGATGAGTAACATCATAAGTCTAAATGCAATAAGTGCAGTGATGCAATAAAGCTGTTGAGGCAATAGCTTAATAACATTTAGGCATAGGTATAATGTTGGCTTCATTAGCATAGCGCAAACAGAAACCCTTTGAAAATGGGGGTGGGGAGAGAAAATTCATACTCAAAATACTACACTGTGTAAAATATTTTCCTCCGAGCTGACTGCATGACAGAACTGTATTCTGCGAATTAACAATTTAATAAAAAAAAACACATTTAACCTAAAATAAGAGATGCTGTATAAAATCACCCCCTTACAGTGGTGTGAAAAAGTGTGTTGGTCTTCTTCCTGATTTCACCCTTTTTTTGCATGTTTGTCGCACTTCACTGTTTTATAACATTGAATCAGTTTAAATATAGGTCAAATACAACATGAGCAAACACAAAATGCTGTTTTTAAATGAAGGAGAGGAGGAAAAATAGTTTATGCAGGATTCCTAGACTTGAATTTACTACCTTTAAATACCTATTTTTATTGCAGTTACAAGATTTTTACTACCAACAGAATCGAGCAGCAGACTCTTTTGGGGCAGCGGTGAATTCTAGGGGTGCACCGATTCATCGGCACAGATTTCCTTAATTTTGGGAGATCAGCGATCGGCCGACATTTACATTGTGAAGCCAGTCTTATCCCCTGATCTTATCGACCTCAGCAAAGGTCTGAAAATCAGCCACTGTCCTCTTCTGCTCTGCTGTGAGAGGTTTGACTGACATGGCCCACCAGGTCATGACTGCACAGTCGCAGTTAACAAAAGTGACCCCACTGTTCCCAAAAGCAATTTTAGTGACATTCCAGACAAAAGAAATATTATTGAGCAAAATCGGAATCGGCAGGTCAGGGTTTTTAAAGATTGGTAATCGCCGATTGGTTATGGTTGTAACTGTGTTTCACTGAAATCCCAAAGCTTTGGAAATGGCTTTGTAACCCAATTCAAACTGATAGGCTGCAATGACCTGAATTTCTATGAAAGTCATTTCAATTATGCAACCATTTAATTTTTTTATTCAATTGTTCTCTAAATCAGCTTCCACTTTTTAGGGGAATAAAATAGTTCTGAAACATTTTGTTGTTGCTATAAAAATTGTACAAAATCCGAGGGGTGAATACTTTCTGTTGGCTCTCTGTCTAACACCAGATTGAATTAGTTGGGAAAAGAGATGCCTAAGTGGAATGACAAACATAAATCTTATCTCAAACAAACATGTCTCTCCACTGTCAACTAAAGTAATCAATCCACAACCTCTGAAATTAGCATTACCATCGCAAGTAGCATCATATCACCAGCTTTTTTTATCTTGAGGAGGCAGTGAACTAAAGTCCAATCGGGTAGCTCAAAATGGAGGTCTGCAAAGAATAATGAGGCTTCTTGAAAAATTGGTAACAATTTGTGATCCAATTTTTGGGCTAAAACTGCGTCAAGTTTTGTTTTTACCCTAGCAGAACAAATCAAACATTTGACAAAAATACATGACCCCAAAAAACAACAATGTCTGTTTAAACAAGCATCTCATAAAGGAAGAAGTGTAGGACTTTGATTGTGAGCCACCTTCCTCGCTTTATTAGATAAATAACTTGCGCCCTGTAAAGCTTTGAAGATGAAATATTTTTGGGACTAATTATGATGGAAAGGGATGCGAGTGGGTTTAAACCGGACGCTGTTCGGTCAGTCAGGTTTTTCTGCATGCTTCAAACCAGAAGAGCCGCGTGTCCGCACGTGACTCCAAGCTGCCCTCTGTGTAGTGACCTTTTCAAACTTTTTGTTTTTCTCCCTCCGTCAAGTCCAAAGTTGTAATTGGCTGGTGGGTTTTCGGAGCCGGCGAGTGCCTCCTTCCACCAGCCATCAAAACCGTTATTGAGATGTACCCTGCCAGATTCGGTTCGTTACGGAGTGTAAAACGCTCCGGGAGGCTGGTCGGGCTGAGCAGCAGAATACCAAATCCCTTCTATGAATGCATAATTACACTTCAGACACACAGGGATTCTCCCTGGATTTCCCTCCTTTCATTTCCACTCCGAGATACGGATCGCTCTCCGCTTCTGAGGGAAACCACCTTATAAATCTTTCATGGCTCTCTCTCCGCTTTCGACAACTAGTTAGTAGTGGGAGCCGGTCTCAGAGCATTAGTGGGTGGGAATGTTGACTTCATGTACGTAGGGACCTGCTGTGCTGTTGCACAACACCTTGCTGCGTGTCCGGATAACTCACAGGACCAAAACAAGGAAAAGGATGAATATGTATTCCTGTGGTATCGCTGTATACACAGTATGGAGTAGCTACATAAGTGCAGAAAGGAGGCAGGTAATGCCTTTCTGTTCTTCTATTTTTTATTATTATTATTATTATTTTTTGTAATGCACATTCTTGAGATCTGATCAAGCACGTCAAATTCTTATAATTAGGGCGCTCAGTTCACCCTCCCCCCATCTGCCCCCCATCTCTCTCCCCTTCACTAAAGATGAATGTGAGCGGCAAACCTTTTCACATTTTAATTTGCAGAACCCCTGCTGGAGCAAAGTTTGCTGCATAGTGTGAGGCATCTGAAGGCAACGCATTCCTATTCAGGCTGAGATGAGCAAAAAAAAGAAAAGAAATGAATAGCACATTTTTTTACATAGTGATCAGGCAATTGATTTTGATATGCACCGTTTCATAACTCTCAGGGTGAAAAAGTCAGAGAAAGTGCACACTCATACCAATGAACAGCTCTGTCAGCTGAACAACATGCTAATCTTGCATAAAGTATTTGAGTTCTGTTGATTCCAGTGATCAAAAACACCAAACAGGCCAAATGCAGATGCACTCTAGGTATTTTCGTCTGGTTCAAACACATCTAATCAAAGGACTTTGTATATATTTCACGATGATGTGACAGCATATGGCATGAGACGGATGATGGAAAAATAAAAAATCTAGCTCCTTCACCACATCTTTCAATCTGCAGAAATGCACTGCTCCTGGTCAAAAACAACCAATCAGTGCCAAGAGAAAGGTCTTAGCGCTGTCAGTCATTCTTGTGTATGCGCTGCTCAATGTGCCAGTGGTGGAGATACAACTTACTCTTACAGGAAAACTGTTTATCCGCCCTTCATCATCTAACCTGAGCATTTATGACAGGCTCTGCTGTTCGGCAGGAGCTGTAGCATAGCAGAGCGCAAGGGGGAGGGTGTGAGCAGCGCATGCACAAGCATGACTGCCAGGCCCTCCTCCTCACTTTGATTGGTTGTTTCTAACTGAATGGGGTGCTTCTGCAGTTATACTGGGAGCACTGGGAGAAGGCAGAGGAGTTTTTTGACTGATTATCTGTCTCTTGGGATACTTTTACGATGTAGCGACAGCTTTCAGAAATATGTTCACTCGAAGTACAAGTTTGTGTTCTTCAAAAGCATGTTTTGAGTTGGGACTTGCCAACATATAATTGGGCTGAACAGACGGGGAGGAAATTTGAGGAGGCCGATTTTCAGTACATTTACAGAAATAAGTTGAGATGCAGTATTGAATATTAGCATAAATTGGCGAGTGACATTTTAGGTAAATAAAATTACAAACATATAATTTCATAAAGAATGAGAGCCCCATGTGACATGAAACTTAACTCAAAAGCAGAGGTCCGTGTGTGCACATCGGAGATCTGGTTCTTTATCTCTTATATTAGAAACTGGACGATTTCAGTCGTCCAGTCGTCCAGAAGAGGGTTGAAAATGATCTCTGTGTGAGTTTAATCAAATTGAAAGTGAAATGAACTATTTGTTTTCATTGTCCCTTCATGTAATATTTTCAGGAACAAATTCTTCGGTGATGTCTTTTCTGTTGTTGTTTTATGCAACGACAGCAACAGTATGAAGATGAGCAGCAGTTTTTATCGAAGTATCGTGTCTTTTAGGGAGATCAGTATGCTTCCAAAGCTTGGCACCTTTAAAAAAGGTTTATTTTTGAAGGATCTTGATGTTGCGCTCTGTCCCCAACTTTGTTTTATGTTTGTGTTTGTGGGTACATTTTATGATGTTTGGCAAAAAAAGAAAAACAACAGATTTTTTTTTTATTAACGTTGCACACTGCAGCTTTCAGTCTGGACTTTTTCTAAACCCTTTCAGATTCTTTTGTATCTTTTGAGGTTTTCAGACATAAACTTATTGGTGTGCTTCAGACGGCTTTCCTGCTGCGCAACCTAAAAACAACTTGGATTATGCAAAAGAACTGACAGGCATAATTTATGGTTTCATCCATTATAGCAAACTGCTCAGGCCTTGAAGCCGAAAACAGCCTGACTACCGAGGTAGTCTGAAGAACGGCCCATCGGTCTGATTCTTGTGAAACAATTGTTAGATATTTTTTAACATTATCATTTTGTTGTTACTTTAGTTTATATTCAGTCTAAAGTATTATTGTGATTTAGTATAAACTGACCTGGAGGTTACGACTGTCTTCATGCGAGATAGTAAAATTTTATGGTTCTCAGACCCTAAAGTTTTCTCTGGTGTTTATCTACCCGGTCTTAGGTGACAGTTTGACCTAGAGCTGAACTGGGCTCAGATTGTAAATTAGATATCACACCTGGAACTGAGTTGTTGG